AACAAAAAGACCTGATTTTCATAATAGATGCATTAGCAATCAGCAGAGATATCTGAAATGGAATAAATATTAACTGTTATATAGTTTATACTATTTGAAGGCAAATTTTAAATGTAGGTTACTCATTTTTTCAAAACAGCAAATTTCCTATTCTTTGGAATCTTTATATCTTATATTTAACTAGTTACGCTTAAAATTTTTGTGATTGTTAACACCTCCCCCCTGCTTCCTGTCTGCCCGTTTCTGTTATTTGCTCTTCCTCTGGGAGCATGTTTGCACTGGCTGGCATAGCTATCTAGGGAACTTTTTTTCAGAATTAGTACTTTGAAAACTGCAATGGCTACATCATTTATTTTCTGGCATCTGCACTGAATTTAGCAAAACAAAATTTTTGTATTTTTACCCAGTGCAAAAAGAAATTCTGTTTTATTCCAGTGCAATGGAAGGGGAGTGGAAGAGAATTGTGCTTGTATCGCATCTGTTTTAGGCTGGAATATAGGCTGTGGTAAGATACTCTGTTTAGGGGCAGTTTTGTCTCCATTCTTAACGTAGTCATTGTGTGAAGATTGGTGTGATTTGTACTTTTCCTCAAATTGGCTCTTTGGAGCATTGCAGTAAGCAAGAAAATTAATAGCAAAAAAGCGAATTAATAGCAAAAAGCGAATTAATAGCAAAAAGCGAATTAATAGCAAAAAGCGAATTAATAGCAAAAAGCGAATTAATAGCATAGCAAAAAGCGAATTAATAGCAAAAAGCGAATTAATAGCAAAAAGCGAATTAATAGCAAAAAGCTGAATTAATAGCAAAAAGCAAATGTATAGCAAAAAGCCCCTGTGCGCTGAGAGTCCGTTGTGCAAGTTCAAAAGCTAAATGCGCTTCTGCAGCAGCTCTCATCTCTGTCAGGGTTTCCCTTTCCCCAGTCGCAGCCTGCAGAGCGCCGCTGCAGAGTGCCCTTTAGCACCTGGCTCCCCCCTGCCCTTTGCAAATAAGAATTTTTGGTCCCCTCGGAGCTCCGGCCACCTGCACCTCCCTCAGCCCGGCGCTTGCTCCTGCACAAACGCAGCGCTCACGGAAGCAAGAGTATCGTCTGCAAGGCTGTGGCGGTGGTGTTCACATGACTAATGCTGTGAAAGATAGCAAGATTTTTTTTTTTCTTTTTTTTTTTTTTTTTTTTTTTTTTTTTTTTTTTTTGAGCAGCTCCAGTCTATGCACAGTTGGCTCCCAGCTGACAGACAGAATGTGGGGTGGGCTTTGTCACCAGAACGCTGGGTACTGCATGCCCAGCTATGCTCGCAATTACACAGTGCCCAGAAACCTGCTGCTTATGTCAGGGTGCAGGCAGCCTGAACACATAGAAATTGGGTAGCTTTATTTTTTTTTTTTCTTTTCTTTTTTTTCTTTTTTTCTTTTTTTTTTTTCCTCTTTCTTCCCAGCAAAGGTTATATAATGAGGGGATTGCTGCTAAAGTAAAAAGGGAAAATGAAGTCTTTGTTAAATGCCTTCACAAAGAAAGAAGGTAAGCAATGAAAGCAAAACACTTTGGTGTTTCAGACTGGTGTTTTCTTGTGTACATTTAATATGATCGGCTTAGTGACTCTATAATTAATCAATTCCTGCAATTTCTTTTTCAAAATTATTTTGTGTTAGTCAGTCCATTTAGGCAACTGATTATTAAGGCTGGATGTGACTTTCTTCATTTTAGGTTTTTCTCTGAAGAGTCAAGTAGTTATAAAAATGTTTTTGTTCCCTAAGAAATGCATTTGAAGACATGTAAGGAATTTCCTAGGTGAATTTTGTTAGTGAATGGTGCTGAATTGCCCCTTCAGATACATGAAATGCCAGGAATAGAATGCTGAGAGCTGGAGGAAGGATTAAATGGTACTTTCAGGTATGCTTTTAGGGGTGATCATTTTAAACTTTAGGGGCATGAAATTAGTTCAGACATTTTCATGTAATTTTATAGCAAGTGTTTTTCCCAGACAAGTTTTGCAGCAGTTATACTTACAGTTCTGAACGTGGTGAAATATTAGGGAAAACCAGTGTCCAACAGGGGTTAAAGCATGGACATTTGCATTTTGTCATTTTGTGTTGTAGTTATTTTTTTATTGTGAAAATAATATAAATAATGCCTATGAGAAGCAGCTAAAAAAATATCCACCCACTTACAGTTTGCAGATTGCTGGGGAAAAGAAACAGTTGGGTGGAATATTAATCACTTTAGGCACGGAAATGCTTATTTTTAACTCTTTCTATAAAAGATTTGTGTTAGACACACGTCAATTGGTGTAATTAGTTGTCCCCTTTCCTGTTTATTTTCTGTAGTAAAGGCTAATTTTGCTTGTAGTTCTCTCCTTAAGAATAGAACATTAATAGCAAAGCAAAAGCTAACTCCTTAATGGTCATGTAAAATCCTTCTAAGGTATGTAAGGGAAAAAGAATTAATTTAACCTGGTACATGGAGAGTGTGTATTCACAGAAAACATACCCTGTTATCTGTTCGTATAAACGTGCTCAGCAAGTCTCTGTCCGTCCTGTCACTGTGCCTGAGCACCGGTGCCCCTCGTGCTCCCTCCCACTCCTGCCAGAAGATATCCCACCAACCTGTCAAAAGTTAACAGTGAACATCCCCCAAATGTTGGCAGTATTTACTTTTACCAGTCTGTGGCTGGAGGGCTTGGCAGTCTGCGTGGAGTGTTACCAGTTTAAGGTCATGAAAAATTAAAATCTAAAGGTCAGATCCAATTTTTACTGAAATCCAAGACAAAGACAATCCAAGACAAATCCAAGACCCTTAGCGAACAGCATTAGACCTTCAGGTAGCAAATCTGCATGTGCAAAGCATTCCCTATATTGTTTTGTGTACTTTCTCCTTTACTGAAATTATTACAGTAGCTATTCTGCTTTACTGTACCTGGGAAAGATCCCTGTCTTCAATGAAACAATTTTAGAGCCATATTCCAAATGTCAAAATGACAGGAATGCACAAATGGCACATCTATGTCACATACATCAGCCTAGAGGATATCTCAATTTTGGAAATAAGTGCTGTGAGTTTTCATGAAGTTAGTACTAACCAGGGCTTTCACCCTGACATTTGAAGCATCAGGGTGCTTTCAGTGACATACTTTGCTGCTTTGAAACCTTAAAAAAAATGCAAAATATGAAAACCTTGTAATATCCTGAAAATTAGACAGAGTTTCTGCCAGTTTCTATCATAAATATTGAACTTCTACACTTTATCCCCTTTTAGCAGATTTTAAAGGCTACTTCCCTTATTTCAGCCTTGTTTCAAGCAAAATCTTATGGACATGAATTTAAAGCCCTTTTCTCTCTCTGCACACTGTTCTCTTGTTTGATTGTTCTGATGTTGTTGAGCTATTTACCAGAGAAAGTTTCAGCTCATTAGAAGTATGAAGGATGTTTTAAAATATTCCGAATCGCAGTTAACCATAAACTGATTCTGGTGAAAACTATATCAACCATTCTTCTAATTGCAGGTCCATCTTTCTTTTATCTTATAAATAATGCTTTCAGTTTTGCTGTGAAACCTTAAGTTTTGCTGTGTTCTCTCAATTAAAGGCTGTATTTCAAGGCAGGACAGATTGATTCCTATGTATATTCATATTTATGTGAATTATTTACTTGCACAGTATGACAGACATTCTTATTCTGGTTTTTGTGTGTTTTTGAAGGGTATTGAATGCGTAGACATTTTTGGCACTTTATAAATGGCACTCGCTGGCACTTTAGACATGTAGGATGATGTTTTGTGGGGCTTCTTTCCCAACTGAAATATGATTTTTTGAACATTACACCAGCTCAATGAAGTCCCCAGAATAATGCCTGGCTGCCTTTTATTAGTTACACTACTGTGACTTTTTAGATGTAAATATGTGCACTTTGGATCTAATCCTGCGACCCCATGAGTTCCACTCAAATAAATTAATGAGAGTAGTTGCATGGATGGGGATGGAGGCAAGCATGAGTTTTCAGGGTCAGATCCTCTATTACTTTACAGTATGGGTAGGAAATGCCATCACATCTAGTGATAGTTGGGTGCTATTAGGAAATTTGCCTTTTAAGTTGCACTTGGAAGTAACTGACCCACTACACCACAGCAGTGAGAAAAGGAGATCTGGAAAATGTAGTGTCTGCTTGTACAAATTCTTGTGTGACTGAAGTACTGTACCAGTAACATTGATGAAAGGATGGGACCTCTGGTTTGTATTAGATTTTTATTTCCCTTGCTTTTATTTTTTTGTTGCAACTATTTCATTAGGTAGTATATTGCAGCCTTTGGATGCAGTCATGTTCTCTTTGGGACACGGCACATGACAGAGTGAGTGTATTACCCTCGGGTAATATGTTCTATATACAATAGTAATAGATGTGGTAGAAATGCCTAGATTAGAAAGAGGGGAATACCTAGGGATTACAGCCGTGTAATAGAGTTCTGCCAGGAGAAAAATGTATGTCCTCAATTTTTAACCTGGAAGATGGAGATAAGGTGACTGTTAACACTACAGACTTCAGGTTAGGCCTGAACTTGAGATGGAACAAAATTCTCTCAGTTTAGGTGCCAATGGGAGAAGGAATTTAGAAGATCACACATCAACAGTCCTGCCGATCAGCCTCTGTTCTGTGGGTTTCCAATTGAAGATGACAACATAGCACAAATACGAACTTTTTGAGACTCAAACTTGGCAATAATGGGGTGTTTCCCATTTCCTAGACCATAGTTCAGCTTGTTCAGCAGACTCATGCCATGGGTGTTGCCTAAATATTTATTAAAGCCAGCAGGCAGGTTAACGTTGCCCATTTGTTTTTGGTTTTAATGATATTTTAAAAGATAATTAATTCAGTTAGCTAGGCAGTCAAGGTAGAGTTTCTGTCTCCGCAGAAAAACAATGCCATATGTTGCTAAATCTTTTTATGAGGTGGTAAACATATAGGAATGGTGAAATCATCTGAGATTACCCTGTGTGTCTGTCTTTACACAGTGCCCTTTAGAGAGGCTCCCACCTATTCAAACCGAAGGCGGAGACCCCCGAGCACCTTAGCAGCACCTCGGATCTTGCTTCGTTCCAACAGCGACAACAATCTGAACATCAACAACCTCCCTGAGTGGTCAGCCTCCTCCTCTGCTTCTTCACACCGCAGCCTTTCACCTCATCTACTTCAACAGATGCAGAATAATCCTAATGGAACTGTAAAAACTGTGGGGAGTTACACTCCGTCCTCCCGGAGCCGGTCGCCATCCCTGAACAGGCTGGGAGAGGATGCCAAGCGGCAGCAGCACAGGCACATCAGGTGACTTTTTGACTATTTGCACAGCATGAGATATCCCTAACATCATCATGCTGGACTCCCATCTTCTTTTATGTTATTTATATGCCCATTTTGCCCTCTATATAAAGTATAGGTAATAAAATCTCAGCAAAGTGGAAAAGCGTGAATATTTTCGCTGGAAGCTCCAGTCAAACCCAGCTGTTTTCTCACAGAGCTCCAGCAGCCAGGCAGACTTTAAAGTTCAGCAAAGCTCAGCAGTGACTTATCACTGAGTTTGCACTTCCAAATCAAGGTGCTTGTTCTCAAGATCTTTTAATAGTTGAATGATTGTATTTAGCAGCGAAGTAAAATGTTTCTGAGATACTTGGTCCCTTCATGAAACTGTTGATCTTGCCTGAAACCTATGTTGGAGCTGCTCGTGGGTGATGAAGCAGAGGCTGTTTAAGTTCTCCCTTCTGTAGATGTGTGCTGAACCAAAGAGTAAAATAGAGGGAATAAGTGGGGCTGTGTAGGAGGCTGGCTGAGAGCAAAGGGGCCTTCCTGAGTTGGCAGTGATAGATGTCATGGGTGTCTTTCATGATTATCCTTGCTGCAGGGTTTTGCATTCCCTGTGACTTTGCTGCTCTTTCTTTCCTCTTGAATTACAAATGTGATTTAGCAGGCACCCTCTGCAAATATCCTGCAGCTATGTCCCACTGGAGAGTAAATCCTAACTAGAGTGATGTAGGTGTTGTAAGTAATACAGTAAAACAGAGGATTGTGTCTAAGTTTTGATCACAAAAGGGGGCTTCAGCTTTGTGAAGCCACTGCCCTGTGAACAGACAATTGCAGCTTCACTTTGAGAAGGTCTCAGGAATTGCATCTGTCAAGTGTGTAGGTGATGGAGCTGCACCAGGACAAGGGCTTAAAGCCAGGGCTGCAAAAGTGGAGGGAGGCAGAGCCAAGTACTGATGGAGAGAATTAGAGCTGAAATGTTTTAACCAAACACATTTAATTCAATGGTCACTTAAAACACCAGGCTTTGTCTGTCCTGTTTCCTAATATCAAAAATCATCCATTGTTCAGGGTAGAAAAGAACATGAGTATTGTTAAGAAATGCAGTTGTTGGTTTCTCTTTGTCATTTGTAGGTGTAATGGATTTTTACTTGAATTCTCAAGTCAGTAAAACAAAATGTCATGTAGTTGAAGCTGTCAGCTGTTACCTTGCATGTTCTTGGGCCCTTGGCTGTAGGCACCCAAACTGACAACCACTACTTGTGATAGTAACAATATTGCTGGAGAGTGGAAATAGCGATACGTTGTAAAAAAACAGTTGTCTGAAATGTAAGAATCACTGGAAGGAACAGGCTGCAAATTTGTTACACCAGTGGTTTCATGCAGTGGAGCAAACTCACTTTACCTTGGATGATACAATAATGGCAAAAGCTCATTTGGTTGTAATTTGGGTGATGCTTCGTCACAGGACCCATATCAGCTTAAAACCAGGTTGTCTGTAATGAGGCTTCACTTCAGTGAGGAGGTGGCTGTGTGGTGCTTTTCAGAAAATGAGTGCCCTCCTGTTCCACTGGATAGTGCTGATGCTACCAGAGTGGGAGGTTTTACCTTAGAGCCAGTGATTATTTTAGCTGGAAGGGGTAAAAGGTGCCTTTTCATCAATGTTCCTGGGATAACACACTTCCAAATTCTTGAAATATAAACAATGCTTTGAGTTGGGGGAACAAAACAATTTTTTGAAGAAGCAAACGTTTATTTGCTTTGACTTTATTCAAGCAGTTTCCTCTTCCCTTTCTGAAAGCATGTGATTTTTGGAAATGAGCACAAATGACAGCGGAAAGCAATTTAATGCCTGAAATTTTGTGGAAATAAAATTTTGTTTTTTCTCTTAGCGCATCAGTATCACAGCTACTTAAACTCCCATCCAGCTGCAGAATTCCATATATACCATTAAGACTTGCTTCAGAGATGTGCCAGAGTATATGCAAGTACTGAGAAGAGTGCTGGAGCCTCTCTAAAATTTAAAGACAGCTAAGAGCATTTTATATATAACTTTTCCTGCAGGCAATGCCTTTTCTTGCCACAGGCCTGTTTTACAGTCATGAATGGCACCATACATGGCACTTCTTCACAGATTTTGTTTAACTGTGTGACCACCTACTTACTATCAGCTAAATGTGGGAATTGTTGCTATCTCTGGTTATTATTTGGAAATAATACATTCACCACGAAGCTGTTGCTCCCCTTAGATGAGAAGCCCTTTTTGACATAGCAGTAGGTTGGGTTCTGGAGCGGAGGCAGCCAGAGGGGGTAGGTTAATGAAGATGGTTAGAGTATGACAAAGGGTTAATGAGGTTTGTGGGGTTTGTGGTGTGGAAAGGGACTGGAGAGCGATGCTGGAAGGGGTTCCTCTGATCTTTATAGCCTGTGTGGCTCAGGTGTTTATCTTCTCATGAGGCTGCTGCTTTTCATACCAAACTGGTTTTGAGGGGGGCTGGGGAAGGCAGAGGAACTGGCACCGTTCCTGTGGAATTTGTCCCATGGTGATTAGTGAAAGCACCACCTCAGACAGGGCTGAGCCATCAAGGATGGCCACCTTCTTGTGGGTGAGAGGGAAACATCTGAAATCTCCTCATCCTCCTCCTGCTCCTTCGTGGCATCGGACATGTTGGGCTGGGAGCCCAAGCTGGGAGCAAGGGGAGAGATGAAAGATTTTTTTTTTTTTTTTTTTTTAACCATTAGTAAGCCCATCTCATGAGAAATGATGCATTCAGTGAGTGCAAAGGTTAAATGTGTCATTTCCCCCTCGTCTTTCAGTAAGAGAGGAAATGAAGGTATCCTCTGTGATAGGAGTTAAAGAAGATGCTGGGACATAACGTTGTGAATCGCTGCTACCTGGCAGCTACCAGACTAGGCAGAAAATACAGCTTGATACAAGTGGAAATTGGGTGTGTAGCAACAGTTTATAGATCTGGATTTTTTAAAATTTTACATTCATAAGGAAGAGGGAATGGAGCGAAAGAACTGAAACCCGAATGTCATCTTTTCCTGTCTTCCTTCAAACAACTGTTGAGAGTTGGCTGGGGTTTCTGATGCCAACTCCCATCACAGACATGCAACCAGAGCTCACTTTTAAACTCCTGAGTATGGCTTATCTTTATTAGCACCTGTTGCCAGAAACGAAAGAACAGAACAATGAGGTGAAAGGTTGATGCTATTTCAAGTGGTAAAGAAGTTACTGCAGGACAATGGAAGTGTTCCTGATGAAGATCTACTATGTTTGGTTTTTTACCAGACAGCTTCTATTTTACCTATCTTGAGAGCTTTATTGACTCCTATTTTGTTAGGAGATTGGTTAAAAAAAAGCATGAAGAAACAGTAAGCTTGAGCTCTCATATTTTGTTTTGCTTTAGCAAAATTTTTTCTCTCTCCTTAAAAGAAGGTCATCAGTGCTGTATCACCATTAAATTATTCTGCCTTTGGTATCCTATCTTTTTCCTATAAATCTTTGTGAATATTTTTTCTTATGAATATTTTCTGATTCTAGACTTCCTATGTAAGACCTCAAGTTTTTATGTTTTGGCTTTTTAAGGTTGAATTAGTAGTGTATTGTGAGTTTGTTACGATGTCTCCTATAGGTTTTCCACCCTCTTTAACATTTGACACTTTATGTTTTCATATATTTTTGACAGTTCACTCATTTTTCTGGAGGTTTATTACCTTATGCACTGTTCACTGGAAGTCAGTAATTTCTTCTTTATACACCACAAGTAGATTGTGTGTTGTTTGATGACGTACGACTTACCTGGGCATACCATTCTGAAGTCATTGGGAGAGCTATTGATTGCCAACAATAAGAAACGATTTTTTGGAGAATCTGTTAGCCATGAGAACCAGGCTTTATGCAGATCTGGAATTTAGCTCTGGGCCTTGGAATGATGAAGTAACTCAGTTATTCGGTCCATTCAGTTAATAATTCAATTGTCTTGATTATCCATCTAATGTTACAATATTACAAAGATATCCATTCCCAACAATAATTGTAAATGCTGACTTTTAAAGTCTTTCTGACAAATTGTGATGCTCGTAATGTATGATTTGCATATAAATTTTAAAACTTCATGAGCATCTGTGAATGTGCAAGTTTAATTTGCAGAAAACCTAAAAACTTTAGTGTTAAGTGTTTTCTAGTCCATCATGGTCAGATGAATATTGATTATGTTTCATATTGAAAGATTTCAACCATTAAAAGCAAGTGTTTAGGATTAAAAATGTGCATTTTTTTCTGCAGGGTTAGATGTCTTGCTGGAAGACAATTGTGTTATTCCCCGCTTAATTTAATCCTGCTAATGTGATGGTAGATGATTAACTTTGCCCATTTAAAATAACCAGTTTAATGTTTTTTAATTTCAATTTCCAGTGCCGTTTACAGTCCTAGTGCCAACAAGGATACTTTGTCTGCCTTGGATTATCAGGGTCCAAAACGCAAGCTTTACAGTGCTGTACCTGGAAGACTTTTTATTGTCGTAAAGCCATATCAACCTCAAGGAGAAGGGGAAATTCATCTGCACAAAGGAGATAGAGTCAAAGGTGAGTATGTAATTTACTTTGAATAAACATTTTCTTCTGCTGGATGGAAATTTTATTTTAAAATTATCTTCGAGTTTAGGGAAAAAATAATCTCTTCAGTGGAAGTGCTTTTATTTATTTGTTTCTTTACAGGGTATTTTGCTCCTAGATCTATTTTGTAGCCAATGCATATTTAACTACTGTTTTAACTGTAAATGACTTCAAATTACTACTAAAATTCAGAAATACATGCAGTAATAGCAGCATTGTCTTTTACACAGAGCACGTAATTTGCTTCTGTAGTCATTATAGCAAGACAACTCCAGGGCTTTAAAAGGTTGTAAACATGTCAGCTATCTAAGCAGCTCAGGAAGGAAACGGGGATAAGGTCAAGTCTGTTTCAAGCCCTTTCCTCAAGGAACAATTTATTGGTTAAGTAGAAAAAGTTTCCTCCTGAGAGTTAGGATAAGTAGGTAGGTAGAACCTACTGTAAATATTTTTGTGGAGGAAGTGTGGCGGTGCATATATAATTTCTGTCCACTGGTGCACTTCCCAACTAAGAATATGTTAAAATCAAGGCTAGACTTTGTGTTATTATTTTGAAGGCAGTAAGTATATCCAGGTACAGCTGAGAAAGTGGGCCATGTGGTTTGCAGGATTGCCCTTCCTAAGGGTGCATTGTTACGCAATTTAAGCTGTGGCTTTGCACATCCAGGTAAAACTGGTCATGGAGTAAAAAGACTTTCTGCTCAGTCCATTGAAACTAAATGCCAGTTATGGAAATCAAATAAAAGAGAATAAATTCCGTGTCCTAAATAAAAGTGTTAAGTAGCTGAAAATGTCCTTGAACTGAAACTACTGATCTTACAAAAGAAAACTTCAAATATCTCCTCCCTTGAGCCTGCAAACAGTAGTTGGAAAAAATGGGGAGCTGTTAGAAGGTATTTTTGTATTTTTATTTTTGGATGTGTCTGATTCTGAAGCTTTTGTGGGTTTAATAATTTTTCTTAAGCCTTCAGAAGGTGTAGGACAGAAATCTGAAGAATGCAGCACTTAAACATATGCAAGACTAATTTTAAATGCAAGGAGGAAGGAGGAAGGTTAAACTTAGGAGAGCTGGTGATGTCTGTAGGGCTGAAAAGATAATTTTGCAGTTCTGGGAGATTGTGCCCTGATCAGGTAGTAAGCAATGATTATGTTCTAAAGAAAATAGTGCACAAGAACTCTTGGGAAGAGCCCATATTAACACTTCATAAAACATTATAGAAGTTCCCAATTAATGTAAATTATCTAGGATAGAGTAAAATTAATAGAAGGCAAGAAAAGCTCTGAGGTTATAGAGTTTATTGGGAATGCCAAATATAAAATAAAATTAAAGTCATAAAAACCAGAATTCATTTTCAAATTCAAACAAAACTGACAGAGTTTTGCATGGTTTGGGAACCAGCCTTGTAAACATCCGCTGTATGAGAATAAGTGCAGGAGAAGTAATGCGTAATTAGCGCTTCGTAAAAGCCTTTAAGTGTCAAAAGAATGGGTACAGTCTCGGGAGAGGTAAAGCTATATTATGAGTAACTGTCATGCAAAAATGTAAAGCAAATTAAAAGCAAATGAAATCTTTTCATACCTTTGCAAAAGAATACTGGCTCGGGTTAAAGTGTGAAGATTTGAGGTCTTCTGTATGGAGTTCTGACTGGAAGAGGGGAGGAATAAAACAGTTGAGACAGATTCTTTTTGGCCAAGTACAAGAAAATGAAAAAAATGTTGCATATAGTGGGGAAAAAAAAAAAAAAAAAAAAAGATATTAAAAAGCGAGACTTAAATACACCCCAGAACTCTTTGCTTATTTATAATCTCGGAAAATTTAACACCAGGAAGAGTTGGTAGTACCTGCACAGGATGAAATTTTGGGGTACATGAGTGGTACTAAATAACATGCTACAGTGAGTGTGTTTACAGAGATGTAGGAGGTTCCAGGAGATAAAGAATGAGTATGGTTGAACACCATCATCTGTTCTTGAGGGGACGTTGTACACAGTTGTGTTCAACTGACTTGCTGGGCTTAAAGAGATAGCAGTATTTTTGTTTATGTGGAAGATATAAGATCAACATAGGTTCTTGTCACCAGAATAAAACAATAGAGACTCCGGGTAGTTCTGGAGAAAGACAAAACAGAAAATGTGTTCCCTGGCAAAAAGAGGAATCAGTGCGTTTGCTAGGGATGCTGAATTTTATAGAGGCATTTGTTTTCTGGCTGCTTGTTTATGTTAGAATTCAAGACTATTAGATGTGAAAATATCCCAAGAATAAGGGATTTAAATTACAGTGAATTTAATATTTTAAAAATCTAGTTCAGGAGCCCTTGGTTCTAAGTTACTATGACAGTAACTGGAAAACAATGGAAGAAGATATTAGCCCACTTTTCAAATTTTACAATAGTATGATCTAAACTTGAGAGCAGTGATTTTTGTGGGGGACACTAATCAGTGAATGTTAAAATGCTGAAATAGAAAATGAGGTCATGTCTGCTCTGTGAGTTTTGAGTCTTTATAGGGAAGATGTATGTTTACTGAAACTTGACTGCAAATTAATTTTTACTATTAGAAAAAGGGTGCACGTGCCCATCCAACATCAAATCATCCCTGCAGGGATTATTTTTCCAACTTCAAGTGTATGATTTTCCCATTGACTTATAACCTGGCAGAGGTCTAGCATTTGCAGGCACACTTGTTTTAGAGCATTTTATAGAACTTTGATGCCATAAACTCTAGTGACATTTCTATACATGTTGGTCTGCATTTCAAAAAAGTTTGGAAAAAGTGTATATAGGGATTGTCAGTGTTATGATTTAGGATGAAGTCTTGTGAAGTGTAATTTAAGGCTGTTTGCATGGCCAGGCTGCAACACCAGATGACAGATTCCCATTGCTAATCAAAGGAAGAACTTCCAGAGCAAGGTCAAATCCTATTTTGTGTTACCATGTCAATGGTTCCTCAGTTGTCACAAAAAATATGTCAGAATGAACACAACGAGCTCATGTAGAGAACAAAGAGTCCAGGCAAAAAGTCAGCGAGGCTTTAAAAAGGTTGTGTAACATTGTTGAGGAAGCTGTTCAAACTTGGCATATGTGACAGAAATCCAAGTTAAGTTAAATCTGGATTCATGTCCCTGTTGCAGTCAAAATGTAATTATTTATAGAGAATAAAAAAAATTACTCCAATGTACCAACCATTGATGGATTCCCTCTCCATCATCCAAAAGTGCAGGCAGTAGAGCTCTTGCAGTCCTCAGTACTTCTTGTGTTTTGTGTGAGTGCCAGAATTTCTGGCTCTAAGGAGGTCCTGCTGCTTTTCTCTTTCTGAGCAGAAATTCCACTTGGTACTGGATATATTTTCTGTCTTTTAGAGACTTGCTTAGCAAGACCATGATCTAGTCAGGACTGACGTTCTGATTTTCTGGGGGTACACATGCCTCTTTGGGGTTTAGCCACTCACTGTGTGCAGTGCGTGGAAGAAATGAAACAACATTAAACCCCATGGAATTAAATTTTTCTTCACTTTGGGATCACCTTAGCCTCACATTTAAGAAATAAAAAAGCTTTGTCTCAGCCCCTCTCCTCTGCCCGCTTGGTAGCTGCACTGTTCTGTATAAAGCACTGATGCTAAAGTACTGGTTTCTTGGAGTGTTTTGGGGAATTCAAACGTGTCTTGGCATTTGCTGTGGGATTCTAACCCGTGTTCCGTCTGCCCCTGGGGAGATGCTCATCACATGTACATCCCATGAGACTAATCACAGTAAAGATGTAGCAAGGCATTTACTACAGGGATAAAAACCCAGAACAACATATTAGAGAAAGGGATTAGTTGGGAAATGTTATTATGGATTTTCTTCTTTAAATTGGTAGAATTAGAAGGGTCACAGAGAGGGATGAAATCCTAAACTCTTGATGAAAAGTGCTTTCATCAGAAGAAGATGAGGCAGAATTTTTTTTTCTTCTTTCTCAAACTGCTAGAAGTGCATGAATAGTTCACAGTATATGATACAAGGAAACTGCTCAGAGAAAGCTGTGAATGGGCAAGGTCCAAAGCAAATGTAAACTAATCAAAATCCTCTTGAATTAATAGGATATTACATAGCCTATACAAAAATATCTGCTTTATTTTTAGTTGTTAGTCATACATACTGACATCATTTGTGTGTCTGCCACTCATGAAAGAAGGGCCATGGCTGTTGTAAAAATAAATCTGATATCTTTATTTGTACAAGAACCCTGATCTTACGTTTTCACATTATTGAAGAAGAGCTAGCTTCATTCCTCACTGAAACACTTCTAACATATTTTGTTTCCTTCTTCATTTTAGGTGTAAGTCCATAACAATAAATCTGCCAAAATCCAAACACACGCATATATATATAAAGTATCTGTAAAATGTATTTTGATCAGCTTTTGCGTTGCTAAATTTGTTACACGGGAAATCAAGTGGTCTCTTTTATAACAAAACTCAGATGTCTGAAGATAACGCAATGCTCTAAAGTTCTTTGTGAGTGAAGAATTAGCAGTTTTCTGTGTCACGAAAGACAAAGCAGTACAGAAGAATCTCTGCACCCTCGGGAAGGTTACGTGAGATTCAGATCCATACTAGCTTGCCCTGTTGGAAGGGTAACAGATATGAGTTCCAGATACTAGTTAACATGGTGCAGACAATCTCCGGTCACTGAGAAACAAAACAATGAAAATTGTTTTCAGAATCAATGTAATAGTAAAATAAACCTGAAATGCATATGAATTATCATCCCTCACTGACCTAGAAAGTAAAAACCCACATGGCTGCCTGATTGAAATACTTTGGGAACTTCTGAAGTCTCACCCTATTCACAGTTTTGGTTTTCTTGTCTTTCTATGTGTTTTTATTACAGAGCTCCCATGTGCTGTGTGATTTCTAGTTATTTCTTCGGATTTCCAGGTCCCAGATCATAGTATAGTTTGTCCATGGGTGTCTTCCAACTGAAAATTTTTACTT